CCCCCGTGTTCCGCCGTCACCATACACATATGAACATTGTCTGTATTGTGAAGTCAGAACCGGGTGGTTTTCTTTGCCTATCTCAGTATATTGAATTCTTCTCTATTATTTCTTATGTGTTTTTTTATACTCTTCTCCCTACCTTCTCTGCCTGTTCTTTTCATCCATCTGGCTTTGAATGTTCTTTTGCTCTGCATTAGAAATAATTTAGAGATATAGAGATATTGATGATATTAGAGAACCATCAGATTAGAGCTGAGGGTATAAAGGAGACATTTGCTGTGGGGGGGAGCACCTAGGATTGGGCCCTCTGACCTCCTGGGCCGAGGGAGCTGTGCTGTATGCGCACCACCTGTAGCTTGGCCTTGGGAACTGCGAGTCTAACCGTACATATACAATGATGGCGAGTCTCTACCTATTGTAAATGTTCAAAGAATTTGTTTTGGAAATGTTTTAATTGTGAGGGTTATGATTTAAATTTGTTACTTTTCTTTTCCTGTAGGTCCATCCGGAATCTATCAAGGAGCAAACAGCCTGAGCAATAGCGGAGCGTTCAGCGGCGTTCACCAGGTACAGTTATGTGTGCCCCTGCTGTCATCGCACCTCAATGTGTAGAGTCCATCTTGATCTGTTTCTATGTCAGTCGCTGAGAATGTTGCAGTGCATATAGTTGTATGAGATTACACCTAGAGCACCAAGAAAAGGCTGAATACAAGCTAAACAACATATAGGGGAACTGTTTTGTAAGTCCTACTTCCAAATACTACCTGTATATAAAAGATGTAAAATGCTCCAGCAGTATTTATTTCAAATAATATTCTATTTGTGTGTTATGTATTGTTATGATTTGGATTTACATTAAGAGTGATCTGTGTCTTATTTCTTATCGCAGGAATATTCTTCATACCCAGGCTTTAGCCAAAGCCAGTACCCCCAGTATTACAGCACGACGTACAACTCCCCTTACATCCCCACCAACAGCATCAGTCCGACCTCCATATCCTCTACTACCTACGCCCTGCAAGAAGCCTCCCACCACATCTCCAATCAGAGCTCAGAGTCATTGTCAGGTGGGTGCCCCTGTCCACTACCCTCTGCTACCCGAAATGGAGGTGTTCGGAGTCCACCGCATTGGGGAAAATAATGGCATTTATTTATTCCGCAGTGCTGTACAGAGAACACTGAGCCAGTCACATTAGTTACATAGTTACATAGTATTTGAGGTTGAATAAAGACATTAGTCCATCAAGTCCAACCTATTAGGATCTCATTCTAGGAGTACCCGTACCCCTGTATATTACGGTCCCTTAAGAAATCGTCCAAAAGTTTCTTGAACAATTCCACATTATTTGCTGAAATCACCGCCTGTGGCAGTGAGTTCCAGACCCTAACTGATCTTTAGCCCAATCACAGCTCCGCGGATAATTGTGTTGCTGTCACTGTAACAATGTTCTGTTCCTTTTTCTCTGCAGCGGAATATCCTGCACACAACGATCCCTCCACACCGATCAAAGACTCCGAATCTGAACGGCAACAAAGGGGCTCCGATGTGAAGTTACGAGGGAGATCCAAGCGGAATAATGACCCGTCTCCAGCAATGGACAATGAAATTGAGGTAAGTTCTGGAGTTCTGTGACGACAAATGATCATGTATTGGAGGTGTGATCTATATAGAATAAGCAGGCAGCAGACGTGCACACACGCACACACACAGCCGGATGTAGCACGGTTCCCTCGTTTTAACGTCGTTTGTGACCGGAGTCAGTAGATTTCCCGCCCCGTCGTGGAGTTGAGACCATTGTACGCTCTGGCTGGAGGAACGCAGCGCCAGTGTTGTGGATCGGGCATCTCTGCCAGTGAAAACAGTTGTAAGCTTGTAAGAGGCGTCTGTGCCAAGCTCGCCAGATGTTCCGAATTACAGATTGCGCAGAGAAATGCCTGAAATGTGAAAAAAATAATGAATGCGCCCCGATTTGGTGACACGGCCGTGGAATGTTGGCCGGCGAGAGCACAGAGGTCACAGGTCACTCTGTCCATCATATTCTTGTTGTCTACAAGGTGATACACTGGCGTCATTAGTGGACCTGAACTGAACATGGATGCGTATGAACTGACATTAAATAATTCAATGTGTTACAATAACAAATCTGGCGCCCCTCTTGTGCCCAGTCACATGACCAGTGCCAATGAAGCAGATCCCTTTATAGGCCGGGGCACTGACTGGCTGGCTGCGTCTGCCACCCAGCCCCTTCTATGCCAGTGCTGAGGCTGCTCTGTTACTCCCATTGTAGCGCATGGTTTCTCAACAAAGGTGCTCAGTCTTGTTTTGTTGTTTCCTTTTTCCTTCCTAAGAAGGTCACTTCAGCATTACACGGGACGTCTTGTGTTCATGTACACAGCAAAACTATTATGTTTCCTTTCTTTCCAAATTCATGCTGCAACATGCTGCATGTTATATTGTGTTTATGTAAACCCCGTTTATGTTTACATTTCACTTTGGATCCCTCAGTGCAGTTTTTGTTTTGGGAGTTGACCAGTTTAAAAGGAGAACTATGGGGTCAGAGCTTTTCCCCATAGTTCTCCTGAGGGTCACGGGAGAACGCAAACTAGCGTCCTCCCGTCACCCTAGGCTCAGTATATAGGGAGCTACAGCTCGTGGTATACAGAGACGCCGCAGCCGAAATGGATCCCGACAATTCCGTCTGGATCCACCCGACTGCCGGATTAACAGCTGGCTCTGCCTATCTAGAGGCTGTACCCGCCCCCTCCCCCGTCCGTTCTGCCAGTCAGCGCTGGAGGATCAGAGAGGGGAGGGGGGGGAATCCTTACAGGGAGCTGTGAGTGACAGTCACGGCTCTCTGCACGGATAGATCGAGAAGTGAGCGATCGCCGGTATGTGTTTGCTCACTTCCGGATCTATTGAGCCGACATGTGACAGTCTCATTGTCACAAGTCGGCTCAGATTATGAGGCTGAGTGAAAATCACTCCACTCATAGTTCTCTTTTAAAAGCATCTAAGAAAAAGATGAGGGGGCCTGTTCACACTCGCCCATTTTACTGCAGCAAGACCTATGCATGGAAATGCATGTCAAGTAGACATGTAATCTGCGGAAAAATGTGGCTCGGTTCGGACATTTGGGGATTTGGATCCGAAATTCGGTTGGGGTTTTTGTATTTGGGTGAAATCCGAATTTCCGTTAGTTTCGGATGAGTTTACGAATATTCGTTGCGAATGCCACAGAAAACCATATACAGATATTAATACTAAAGCTGAGGCTCCCAGACCCCAATGGCATTCAGAATCCGAATTTCCAAAGAGCAGTCGGGAGCTCCCGCATGCCATTCGGGTCTGGGAGCCACATACATATATTACTAAAGCTGGGGCTCCCAGACCCGAATGGCATTCCGGAGTTCCCCGATGCAATTCTGAAATTCAGATCCCATTCGGGTCTTGGAGATTCAGCTTTAGTATTATATGTATATACAGATTTTCGTTACGGCAACATGCGAGCCATATACAGTATATACATATAATACTAAAGCTGAATCTCCAAGACCCGAATGGGATCTGAATTTCAGAATTGCATCGGGGAACTCCGGAATGCCATTCGGGTCTGGGAGCCACATACATGTATTACTAAAGCTGGAGCTCCCAGACCCGAATGGCATTCGGCATCCAAATATCCAAATTGGTTTTGGGAGCTCCCGAAATTCATTCGGGTCTGGGAACCATATACATATATTACTAAAGCTGGGGCTCGCAGACCCGAATGACATTCAGAATCTGAATTTCCAAATTGCAATCGGGTGCTCCTGAATGCCATTCGGGTCTGGGAGCCACATACATGTATTACTAAAGCTGGAGCTCCCAGACCCGAATGACATTCAGAATCCAAATTTCCAAATTGCAATCGGGTGCTCCTGAATGACATTCGGGTCTGGGACCCATATACATATATTATTAAAGCTGAGGCTCCTAGACCCGAATGGAATTCGGGAGCTCCCAAATCCAATTCGGAAATTCGGATCCCGAATGCCATCCGGGTCTGGGAGCCTCGGGTTCAGTATTATATGTATTTACTGTATATGGCTCCCATGTTGCCGTAACGAAAATTTGTGTTCAGTATATACATATAATACTAAAGCTGAATCTCCTAGACCCGAATGGCATCCGAATCTCCCAATTGCATTGGGGAGCTCCTATGTGTGTACGTGTTACATGGTGCGCTGCACGCACACGGAACATTGTGAATCCAGCCTGAGATTTGGATGAACATTCCATCGTTGAAAGACTGAAAGCTGTTTCAGGTCGCCAGTTCTTACCCGCACACTTTTTCTGCGTCCTTCCATGGGCTGGAAAGGTTCCTAGCCAATCTACAAAACAAACTGTGTGTGTGTGAGGGGGGGGGGGCGGTGTGATGCATCAGCCTCGCAGACAACACAGAGCGAAAGGAAGGCCGTTTATCATGACATCAAGCTAATCCCATTTTGCTTAATGCATTTTCCACATGGGCTGCTAACGTCTCCGTAGGACAGGACTTTACAGACTCACCAAAAAAAAATACATTGGCCGCGTAACAAAGGAATTCTCTCCCTCAATACATTATGGATGGAGGGCCCGGGGTGGATTTGAATGGATGTCCTGTAGATAGCTTGGCAGCGCTTGTGAAGATTAACAAACTATTTTCTTCTTCCAACTACCTGCGCCGAGGTCTGCGAGACTCGCTGAGGACACGGAACGTCGCACACAGAATCTTCCCTTTAACCCCCTATGAGAGCCAGAGGCAGCGTGAGCAGGTCATGTGATCAGGTGATCGGAAATTCCAACGTCATCACAATGCAGCAATGGCCCACCGGGGTCATGTGACACTCTCAACATGAAATGTATCCTATCGGCAGCATTTTATGAATTACAATGTATCATGTCAGAGCGGGAAATTCAAAACATGTTTTCTTTTCTCTGATATAATAAAGTGAACCATAAGCAGATTCATCTTCAGCTTTAAGGGCAGGTTCACACCATATTCCGGAACAGATCTGATCCAGAATATGGTGTGAACCTGGCCGCCAGGCCAGAAATAGCATAGGGATACATTAGGATGCATTTTTGGGTCCGGAAACAATCTGGTCTGGTTTGGAGATGATCTGGATGTGGTGTGAATGGGCCCCAAGTCCTTTTGGGGGTTCGGATTTTTAGGGCTCCTGCACAGTTATAGGGTAAGTGGTCGGGTTCAGGTTTAAGGTTAGGGGGTTGAACTTATTGATTATTACTTGCTGGCCAATAAAAATCACCCGTACATCTTGTTGGCTCCTAACACTTCCCATACGGAAGGTTTTGGCACTGATTGTCCTGCACAGGAGCAAGAAACGCACAAACCTCAGATTTCCCCACACTGGACATTAGGTGACACGGCGCTATCATCAGCGTATGAGCTGGTGAGAGTCTCATCTGGGGCAGCTTCCTGTTCTCTGTGTATACCGTGTCTTTCACCCCGCCATCATCTGGCTTCATTCTCTGCGTATTCAACACCCCAGCTGATCCTGGCCCCTCCACGCCTCTGTTTTCGGGTGATTCCTCAAACACGTAGATGATGTGACCAGCAGATAACAGGGGTCTGCGCCCCGGCCAGATGTGATCAGCTTCCAACAGATGTACATCGGAGGAGCCGGATGGATGCGATTCATGGAAGGCGCTGATTTCATCCCGGGGTGAAGCCATTATCCTGGAGATGATGAACCGCTAAGCCAACAGATCATCTCTGCTATTGTGAGAACCTCTTCGTCTGGGAAGACCCCCTGATCCGTCTTATAACTCCGCCATGACTTCATACCTCCCCACCTGCGTCAAATCCCCGCCATGTCTTCATCCAGCTGAATCAGCACGTGGTCCACCTAATGTAATACACAGGGAGAGAGAACCCGGCTTCATGTCCTGGCTGTCATTTCTCTCCATCATCTCGGGTGACAAGGATCTGCCCACAATGCAAAGATTATATATGGAACAGAAATGAATTCTGATTATTGCATTTATTGTTCATACATAGCGCTGACATGTTCAGGAGCAAGGTACAAAGAACATCAAACAACTCACATTAGTCTGTGCACCAGAGGAGCTTACACTCTAATGTCCCCCCCACAGTCACATCAGTCTCTGTACAGAGGAGCTTACACTCTAATGTCCCCCCACAGTCACACACTATTATTATACATTTATATAGCTCTGACATATACCACAGTGCTGTACAGAGAACACTGAGCCAGTCACATGAGTCTCTGTACAGAGGAGCTTACACTCTAATGTCCCACCACAGGCACACACTATTATGATACAATGTAACAAGATGTTGTGTAAATCCTGTAACACCGTCTCTCTCTCTCTCTCTCTCGCAGCGTGTATTTGTCTGGGATTTAGATGAGACAATAATTATCTTTCACTCGTTACTCACGGGAACATTTTCCACGCGCTATGGAAAGGTAAGACGTCCTCCTTTTTATAATGATGGTCACATATAATGTACTGTTGTTTTGTAGATATATTTTCTTATTTATTGTGCACATTCTGCTCTGATGCACAAAGGAGGCCAATGTGAAGAACTGGTTCCATCTGTTAGAGGTCACGGCTTCCCAATTCATGAGGAATAAGTAACATATTTGGGGTTGTGAGGTAAAGGTGTTCGTTCAAGTGAATTGATAGGCTTTGTTTTGGTTCAGTAAACACCTGTAGGTGACAGGTACTCTTGGAGCCTTTGACACTAGTAAGCCTACACACAGCTTTTGCAGGATGTGTGACCCCGTGCATTTGAGTGCCAGTTACAGTTAAGTCCAGAACATAAAATGTGACGACTTACTTCCTATTTAAACGGCTTCCAATTAATCCTTCTTAGCAGCCCCGTAGAAGGAGGAGGTGAAGGTGTCTGGCCTCATCATCACAAGCCATCAATTATAACATGCATTACGCATCTCGCTGCTCGTAACCTTGAAGGCTGCAAATGTCTCTCATAGAATAAAACTAATTGAGCCAAATGAGTCACAACGTACTAAGAATCCGGAGGTGCCGGGAGAAGACGTGTGGACAAAATCCATCGCTGCGCCAGGCGCTGTGTACAGTCACCAGTAACAGTTCATTAATGACTGTGTTAGCCTTTCTGTGATGGGATTCATATGCGGGATAGAACCGTCTGCTGCTGAGGCTTTATTTACATCCCATATTTAGATTGCTTCAAAATATAGCTCTGACATATTCCACAGCGCTGTACAGAGAGCACGGAGCCAGTCGCATCCATCAATGAACCAGAAGAGCTTACACTCTAATGCAAGGTTGGGAAACTCCTGAAGTCCTGAGTGTGGTCTAACATGTAACCTGCAAGGATGATATTTGGTTGCTTCTTCACATTAAAATTTCACTTCTAGCATAGAATAGTTACAAATCCCATATCACATACAGCAACTGTCTGCGATTTGATACTATTACATGCTCCTTGTGTAGCCGAGGCCATAGAGAGCCATTCAGTTCATCTACATGGCATTGATCAGTAAACCTAATGTAGGCCAGTAGCCCAGACCCCTCCAGTATGGAGATATGCTGCCCCCTCTGCTTCTCTTCTTCACTCTGCTTCTATCCCTCTCTATTTCTGTGTTTATCTTGCTCTCTTTTCTCTCCCTTTTTGTTCTCTTTCTTCTCTCTCTCTTCCTTGCCTTTCTTCTTTCTCTATCTTTATCTCTCTCCTTGTGCTCTCTCTCCTCTCTTTTCTCTTCTTTCTCATCATTCTCCCTTCCTCTCTCTCTTCCTTCTGCCCATCTCTCTCCTCCCTCTCTCTTTCTTTCTCTCTCTCTCTCTCTTTCCTTCTCTCTCTCTCTCCCTCTCCCATCTTCTCTGCTTCTCCGTTCTCTTTCCTCTTTAGCATAGCTCTTTCTATCTCTCTAGCCCCTCTCTCTTTTTCCCTTTCTTTCTCTCTCTCTCTCTTTCCTTCTCTCTCTTCCATCTTCTCTGCTTCTCCGTTCTCTTTCCTCTTTAGCATAGCTCTTTCTATCTCTCTAGCCCCTCTCTCTCTTTCCCTTTCTTCTCTCTCTATCTCTCCCTCTCTGCTTTTCTTATTCTCTTTCTCTCTGGCTCTCTTCTCTCTCTCCACTCTTTTCATCTCATCTCTCTTTTCTGCTTCTATCCGTCTGTTCTTTCTCCTCAGTCTTTTTCCTCTTTCTCTCCTCTCTCTCTTCTTTCTCCTCATCATTCTCTCTTGACCCTCCTTTCTCCTCTCTCTTCCCCTCTCCCTCTCTCCTTTTCATATTCGCCCTACTCTTTTCACTTTCATTCTCTCCCCTCTCCTCTGTCTCGGCTTCTCTCTTCTTTCTCTCTCTCCCCTCCCTCTATCCTCTCTCTATCCCTCTCTTCTTTTCACATTCTCCCTCCTCTCTCTGTCTCTTTTGTCTCTCTCTTCCCTACCTTCTCTGCCTCCCCTGTCTCTTTCCTTTCTCTCCCCTCTCCTCCTTCTCTCTCTTTCTCCTCTCCTCTCTCTCCTATCTCTCCTGCCCCCCTCGTTCTCTCTCTCTCCCTCTCTTTCCTGATTCCCTCTCTCATTTTCTCTCCTCTCTCTCCTCCTCTCTCTTTCCTCTCTTCTCCCCCCTCTCCTCCTTCTCTCTCTTTCTCCTCTCCTCTCTTTCCTGCTTCCCTCACTCCTCTCTTCTCCTCACTCTCTGTCCTATTTCTCTCTCTCTCTCCCCCCCCCCCCCCCCCTCCCTCTGTCTGTCTCCTCTGACCCATCTACTTATCTGCAGCATATCTGACAAGCAGAGCAAAGTGCTTAAGAAGTTTGTGTTTATTTTACTCCTCTAATGAGAAGCTCTCCTCAGTTTCCTCTTGGCTCAGCTGTGTTTATTTACATAGCGTTAGTCATGGTCCTGAGTACCTGGGGACACCTGGGGTCCGCTCACCCCTCCGCTCCATCGCCCCACTCTTCTGCCTCCTGCGCTGGAAGTCCCAGCTGAGCCACGTAAGAAAAACAGGGCCCCACCGTACCCTGCAGAAGCGGGCCGCTCCGAAAAAACAAACAGCCCCTAATTCACACACAGCTCGGGGGATTAAGTCAAGATGAACATCATTTGGGAAGGATTTTGTGAGGAAGTTGAACAGTGCTCCATACAAACCCCCGAGCATCTCTGGAATGTCTCAGTGTACGGAGCCACAGAAAGGAAAATATCAATATTGCTATAAGTGTGCTGGGGCGACATTTCTGGGCGTTTCATCTGGAGGTCATTTTACTAGAGGTAGTATTATAGTTTTACTATAGCACGGTAAAGCCTTCTTAAAGCAGAAGGTATTCACACGTCCCATTGCATCACAAAACCCAATAATGAGAGAATTTTTCCTCATTTCAGGACAGGCCATGCAAATCATTCCTGTACACCCCAGCATCCAGAACCACTGGTGTATATCACAATTGTAGCCAAATATTATACAGCCTTTTATTCTAAACTGCATATCCTTTTTTGTTTGTTTGTTTTCTTTCTTTCTTTTTGAAGCCCGTGATGCGTGCATATAAAACAATACCCCTGTGAACAAAACAATTGAATAGTGAAATCACTACACACAACAAAAAAAGCGCACGAGGGTGCTATTGGTCCTCTCTGATGAGAAGGGCCTCGATTTCCTGATTTCCCCCCCCCCCCCCCCGGGGCGCAAGGCCCCTGACAGGGACAAGAACGACTTAGGTCCACCTACCCGAAGGCGGGCGGACCCCGATCCTCTGGGACCTACCGAAACAGGTCTACCGAAGGGAGACCCCATAGTTGGAGAAGGCAGGGGGCCCTTGTGTAGGTCACAGAACCTCCTCCCCAACTTCAGGAACAGGCCCCCGAAGGTACCTGCACCCTCCGTCATTCTGTGAAGTCAAAAAGGGCAATTGTGCATAAAAATAGCGCTTAAATAAATAAGTGCCGGTGCACAAACCTGGCAGGCTGTCTGGCCAAGGTATAAAAATCGCCCCAAGCTAGCCAGAAGGCCTGCCTAAGAGGCGTGGTGCAAGAAGAATATGAGTGCCGTGACCTTGTGCTGGTGAATCAAGTGGGGTCCCAAACCCAAGTGATTTTCCAGCACACTCTGAGATGCCACTCTCAGGGGGCACAGTACCACAGGCTTTGTGCCTTCCAAGCCCATGGCCAGACAAGGTAGGCCATCCAAATCAGGAGGTACTGGGCCCTGCCAGAACCCAGTGCCGAGGAGTACACCCGACCCCCACTCTGTACGTGAGTGGATGCTAATTCAGTTTTCTCCCCATTGCTGGGCCTTTTAGGAACCCCCGTCACCAGGCAGGGTACTCAGAGACCAACCATACTAGCCAAAAGGCCAGTACAGTGGCTCCTTTCCCCTCCTGCCACTGATAAGAACAGATACTACACTTCATCTTAGCCAAAAGGCCGAGAAGCGATTCTAAACTGCATATGGCTGTTTTGGGCTTTTTGGCCATCCTCAGTGCATTGAAACCATGGCTTTTTTGGTGTAGGACCTGGGACCCAACCAGACTGTGCAACCATACAAGACATGGTGAGAAGGAATCAAAAAGCCCTTCAACCTAATCTGTGGATGTGATTGTTGAGGCATGAAGGGATGATTTGCATGGCCCCGCCCACTGTCCTGAAATGAGGAATAATCCTATAATTTTGGGGATATGTGATGGAATGAGACATGTGAATACCTTCTGTGCTAAGAAGGCTTTACTGTGCTCCTCCCTGATTGGGTTGAAGGCGGTTTTGACTCTTTTAGTCTCTTCTCACCGTACCCTGTATGGTTATTCTGTCTGGACTATAGAAATGATCGGAGTAATCAGTTTAGATTTCGGCTCCTCGCAATGTCTTATAGTTGTCCGCCTCCATTCTAGAAGCTTGACGTTGAATGTTCCTTCTTGCACCTTCCCCAGTCCTCCCCGCTTAGCCGGAGAACCTTCCAATTACATTCCGATGGGTTCTTAGCAACAATGTGCGATTGAAGGGTGCAGCAAACACTTGTTGGAGTGCCGGGCGGCTTTTGTGCTTCATAAATAGTTTTTGGTGATGGGGAGGAAGGCATTCCACGCCCTCTGCTGTGTACCTGGAAATTTCCCGCATGTGTTACGGACCTCACCATTATTTTATGCTTGCTGGAAGCAGAAGAATAGGCCGGCTGATCTGGCAAGGCGACGGCTAGAATTTCGTAGGGAGTGTCCACTGCTGTCCCTCCACCTCCCCAGTGCCAAGAGGACAAGCAGATCTATGTTACTTAAAGTGATAGCAAAGTCAAAAGGTTTTTAAGCTTTTTCAAATGCTTATGAAATCATTTACAATGGATGCTGCTCCTTGATGTATAAAAGTTTTTTAGTTTCCTGCAGAATCAGCTGGTCCCCTGGGCACTGGTCCTGGCTTCCTGTTTTAGGGGTGACTCCTTTCTCAAGCAGAGTGCTATGGGAGTCACCCATGTGTGTGCTAGTAATCTGTGCGTGTCTCCA